ATTTAAGTCCTCAACGATAAAGGTATTTGATCCCGTAGCGAGAGCTTTAAGCTCATCCAGCAATAGGGCATCAGCCTCAGGATTGTTCCCTGGGGGTCCGTAGACAGTTAAGATATCGAGGCTTTGGGAACCCGTTGCTTTTACAGTCAACCATACCGCTTCCGGACAAGAATAAATTGTATTTTATATGCCTTCTATTTTACTTTGTTTGTTTTGCTTCAGCGCACTTCCATTTGGCATCCATATCTTCTTTTTCATTTTGTTTTTAAAACAATGGTTCCAGGGGGGTGAAAACGTTGAATGATTCCTTGAATTTTTTCATTGTTATCGAATTTGATGTAAAGTTATAAATTTTGGGCAGGTATTCATTTTAGGGAATTATATGCTAATCAGAAAGCCATTCTGGAAGTTACTTTTCATGGTTTCATAATTTGAATGATGGCGGGAGCCTTAGTCCCCTCTTGCAAAAACCGCACTTCCTACGTGTTGACCAATAGTCGTTAAGATATTGTCCATAGGTGATCTGCACGGTTCACCGTTACAACCCGCAGTTGTGTTCTTCAAGGCTGCGTGCTGGGTCCTTAACTTCTCATCCTTTAGGTCAATGACAGCCTTCAGGAACTAGACTGCGGTAAAATCAAATTTTTCGACGACGTTAAGCTGTGGCAAGTCATTAAGAGCCCGAGTGACCGGGAAGGTCTGCAAAATATCCTTTGCCGATTGCAAACGTGGTTCGGAGGATGGCTCTTAGATTTAAATGTGCAAAAGTGTGCCGTCCTCCACCTACGTCCAACGTAAGGGTATAATACCTAAAGAATACCCAAATTCCCGTAGAATCTTCACGGGAAGTCCTCTGCATTTGGATACAGAATAATTTGGAGCCATAGTTGCAATGCCTCAAGGCTGTTAGCAAGGCCATTGGAGTACTGCCCACTAGCGAAAGAGCGTTTGTAGCTTTCGACGAAGATCTCTTCTGTAAATTCTACGGCACCTCTGTCCGACCTCACTTAGAATGTGGCACAGAAACTTGGCGATCATAGTTCCCATAGACAAAATGTCTCGAGAAAATGCAGCGTCATGCGACAAAGCCAATAAGAAGTTTAAAAAGGTAGTCTTAAAACCAAAGACTGGGCTGTCTAAATTTATTCCCGGTGTATCACAGGCATCAAATAACGGATTTTATCTTAATTTACAAAATAATACATGGCCTTGAGTAAGGGTTGCGCCTTGAGGAAATGTTTCAATGGCACCTCTCGCCTCATATTTGTGTACATAAAATGAAGCTGCGTATGACTATGTTTAAGTTAACTCTCCGCTCTGAATTCTCAACGCAACGGGCAACAGAATCAGTCGTGCAAGCGAAGTTCCTAGAGCTCTTCAAAAACCGCTTGAATAATTACGTATGTCCTCTGTTGTCCTTCGACACACTGAATAATATACAAACTCCACACAATAGTTATTTGTAAAAACAATGGTACTCACAGTTTGTAGATATTATTTTAAAAGTGACAAGTTTTAAGCGTTCCTGTACAAATGCGTATAGCACACCGTCATCTTAACAATAGGGTTTTCAAAGGCATTGCCTATTACCCACTGCCCTTGTTCCCGAAATAAACTGAAAATATGACTAATTTTGTAATATTTCTTCTTCTAACAAATTTTCCAAGCTTTTATAAATCTAAATATATTTTTGTTAAGAAACATGCACAAAATATGCTTTTTTATACTCGTTTTGTATTAACTTACGTCTTCTTCAAATTCTATACTCAAAACAAGGGTACATTCCTATTTTTACAATCTTGAAATATCCATTCTTAAAGCAACTATTACTATTACTTATAAGGTGTATGGCATGGTCCACATCTCCAGCAAATTTGTATGAACACTATATGTCTTCTGCAACGTAGAGAAATCTGTGATTTTTTAGCAAGACATTTTTCCAGCATGTAGTTTGAAAACATTCAATGCAGATAAAACTGCAGTGCGGGTTACAAATTAGTCGGGAATTTGTAAAAGTTTTTTAAAACCAAAAGGTACATTTTTCGAGTATAAGATTTGAAGAGGTCTTAATTTGCTACCAAATGAATTTAAAATAGCGTATTTTGTGCATGTTGTCTACAAAATACATTTTACTTTATAAAAAGTTTGAAAATCAATGGTATAGCTGCTATAACTTAGGTAAAAACGTTTTACAGAATGCATCTACAGACGACCGGAAAGATACTCATTCAGAAACTAGCAACCTGATGTGACTGAAATATATTGATATTATGCTACATTACAATTAATAGTACAAACCTACTTGAGTAATATTTTCGCAACGAAATTATATTTCACAAATTTGTTTAACATTTCGCGAGATCGCTCATGTGCCGCAGACAACGTACAATGAATGTGACTGGTGCATTTCTATTGCAAAACATCGTCGATAGGTTTTTTAGGCTGGATACTGATTGTAATAATACAAGTAAGTTATATTAACACGTCCCCCTGGCATGAACCATATCGTTATTATGGAACGCGTAAATCAAAATCTAAAGTAGTCAGCACTGAAGTGTTGATTTCGACCATAGTCATTGACTTCTAAATCAGCAGGCAATTTGCTGTCGACCATTGAGGCTGATACTCTGCAATATCTTGTATGGAAGCACTTATATTAACATGAAGGTGCACACATCAGGTATTCTCTCATGATTTTAGTTGTGTCTTCATTTGACTAACGCTGAGTTGCATTATCACCCATTTGGAAAGCAAAGAACGGAATTTCTCGTTGGATTAAGTGTGCCTGCATTCAGCCACTTCTGCCCACAGAGACGGAAATTGCCTAAGTAACGTTTATATCATTTTGCGTAGTTTTGTTTCAAGCCCCTGAGAAGGGTAAGCTGGTTTATATCCGACCTTTCGAACTTGAGCCCTTAGAGGAAGGAGGATGTGACATCATATTTCACGATTTTTCCGTCTGATCTACTCTATGCAGCGTGTTGCTGCATATTGTTCCTTGGGGCCTAATGAATGCCAATACACCCGACAATTTTCACACCTTAAACGGTATGTCTATTACGATTTTTTATCGTGAAACAGTATGCAGTCTGTGCAGTAGCTGGAAACCATTTTATTTGAGCTCTTTAAGCCAAATAAAGAGGGCCACTTGTGTTCTGTGGGTCTTTGAAGATTTGCTAACTAGTTCGCTATTTTTTAATGAGTAGAGTTACTAAACCTGAGGCGTTTTCTCCGCTCTAGATGACTTATTTGCCCTTACTGCATTTGTTTTTAGTTGTCTCTTTCGATTGAGTCCCCGAACACCGTTGCTTCCTTGCTTCTACCGGACGTATTCATCTATTTGGCTCAGAATTACCGCTTCACTGGATCTAGTATCGATGAAATCTGTGACTACAATTCTTCGGTTGCTTTAGGCTGCTTCCAATACTTTGTGAGTCTTCACTACCTACTCCGCTTCGTTTTTAAACATGATTTCTGTACGCAATTTGTTTCTTTCTCTATTTTTTACAGTTGTCACAGTTCTGGCTGACCCTTAGAATGATCTACGGTAAATTACTTCATGGCGCTGTCAGCAACCCACCTCTACAGATGACCAGTCAGAACTCTCAGCCGGCTCGAAAGCCTATGCACCCTGCGTCCACGGCCCGAGACACCGGCAATGTTCACCGGAAGAAGTACGGTGCACAGAGTACATCGGCTGCCACGCTGACATCCCAGTCGCGTCTCAGTGTGCTCAACTTGGTCTCGCCTGAAGATCATTGTGCAGGTAGAATGTCAGGTTTTACTGTCTCCTTTATAGATTATTTTGTCCTCACTTCTCCAATTGCTTCCCGTTGAGTAGGTTTTAGGCTACCACAAATGTAACTTCTTCAGAAACTCATCACTAGATTGGATTAACTCAGTCACCTCTTTTTGTTTGCCGCAATGGAGTTGACGGAAATCATCGTGCCACTTCCGTCATTCCTTTTCAATTTTCCCTGTGTCTCTCTACGTTTATTTATAGAGGCTCCGGTGAAGCATGCCGTCGATTTTCCCGAGGCTAGTTCGGCTAGCAACAAGGAACAGACGGAGAGGTCTGCCGACTCGCTTATACCATCAACTGGTGATGCTGCCAGTACGCAAGTGGCTGGAAGTCTTGGAGAATCTGTGAACTTCCTGTTCTCTGATCAACCTTCCGATTCACAAGTAAACAGTCTCGCGGCGAACGCAGTCGTACATGATTCACAACAGTACATGAAAAAGGTCGGTGTTGAGCCCTCGGAGGCCGGCGGTCGTAAGTAAGTCAACAAACTTAAAATGTACCCTTCCTCCAAACGCCACCGTTTGTTTTATATGTGGGAACCCTCATTTCCGTCCAGAAACGTAAGGGAGGGGGTTTAAAACTTTTGATTATCCTGGCTTCCACAGTCCCGTAAAAAAGCTGTGTACTCTAAAGTAGTTCACTAACCGCCTCGGAGTGCAGACGGAACTTTCCAGTTCATTATCGCGAAACCGTACCGATTATGCTAAATTTATTATAGATTAACTATCTTCTTTTAGCGGTCACTTTATATGCGTGAAAAGGCAATAGATGAGATATGTCGCCTCTGTGATATCCAACAATGCTTACTGAAATGAATTCTTTTCCGCTTTTGTTGATGTCTTTATTGGTGAGTGAATGTTTTGTAATTTGTGGATATTGTACAACAGTGATCGTATCGCTTTAACTTGCTTACCCGTACTTCCGTCCTTAAATTAAAATATTTCCCTACGTGCCTTTTGCCTAGGTTCTCTGCCGAAAGTGAACAAAGTAAGTCACTATCTGCTGTAAAACATCTCGCTTTTAAATCTTTTATTAGTTTATTTATTTTGATTTTCGGAGACTGAGATGTAAAAAATGAGTTTCTTTTATCCAAAACTCTCACAAGATGATGTTTAATTAAACGTATATATGTCGGTATGCACACGTTGCCGTAGTCTTTTCATACCCGTTTTCGCACATTTCTCGCAGTTGCGCAGCTCCCGAAATGCGAGTTTCAGTTGTAAATTATTCCTTAAATGGGATTATGTTGTTATCATATGGTATAATCCAAAGACATTTTGGTCATACCAGGCTGACGGACATTGAGTGCACCTTATTTTGGCCATATTTAAGCATCACACTTCCCAAAAAGACTGTTTTTGTTGAACGAAATGTTTCCGTTGCCGACAGATGCTACTTTACTTGTACTTGTAATTTACTTGTACCTGTTACGGCTACGATCATGACTGATCGACCGCGTTCCCACCCGCCCTTAGGGCGACCAAGGTCTGCTACACCAAACCTCCCTATGCTGGATCTATCTCCCCTTCTCTACATCTCTGTTTTTGATGACGGAGGAGCCCTTCCCGACCATGCTGCTCTGACTTCTCCTCGCCGCCGGGATTGAGGCCCACCCGGCGGGGCTCCTGATCCAACAAGGGCTACTAGCCAACCAGCCATGTCCAGTACGGTGCCTCTCCTCGCGCGATTACTCGTGGCCGCAGACCTGGACAGTTCGATCCATTCTCTTCGACAGCGCCGGAGACCGAATACCGAAGGTCCGAGAACCACTTCCATGTCCTGAC